CGCTGGCAGGAGCCTGCCACGTCCTGCTGCCAGTCAGCCGCGGCGCCACGTTGGGCACGCTGCCCCCCTACCCCCCCGCCAGCACCGCCATGGGACGGGGAGCAGCACAGGCAGAGTCACTCACCCGCTTCTTGTAGTAAATTCTCCACTTGTGGTACTCCCTCATCACCACCTCGATGCGGCGTTTCCAGTAGTTGCCCTCCAGCACGACAGCCTGGGGGGACAGGACAGGGGTCACGGCTGAGCCCCCCAGCCCCAGGGCCCCGCAGCCAGGGCTGGTTTCCTTGTGCCACATCAGAAACACCTTTCCCAGCAAATCTATGAAATACAATGAGCTCTGCCCGCTGTGTGTCCCCAGCTCCCACCTCTGCCACCCCGACCCGCTCCTGGCCCTGAGAGCTGCGAGGGACCATGCCCTACCTCTGGTTTTCGGTGCTCATCGGCTTCCGACCCCTCCAGCGGGGTGATGAAGCCACACACAGGGTTCTTCCTCCGCTCCACATCTGCACAGGGGAAAACACAGCTGGCTTTACCCATGGCTCCATCCCTGGGCAGGGGAGGGTGCCCACGCACCCGTACAACGCAGTGCCAGCCCCAGCCCACTCGACATCGTCCAGCAGTCGGCAGAGGGAGCGGGATCTGGCCCCATACTCACATTGGATGTACCACGCTCTCCAGATAGCGTTGTTGAGACGGATTTTATCCCGGCAAAGCAGCCGCAGGCCCTTGAAATTCTTCCACTTTGGAGACACCAGCTTCCCACTAAAACACCAAGCAAAGGAGAGGCTGAGGGGCACCGTCCCAGAGCCCTCCCAGTTCAGGGTCTCCCAAGGGGGCCATGCTTGAAGAGATGCCCAGGGCCACCAGCCTGGTGGCAAGTCTGGAGCAGGCGCAGCCATGTGGCTCCGCTGCAGGTTGCTAGTCTGGCACCCATGGGAGCACCCACAGGATCACCCTGAGCTCCTGTTCACCCTGACAGCAGCACAGACCTAAACTGGGAGCTCCACAGACCCACACGAGGCTTGTCGAGCCCCTGGGATTCAAGCACAGCACACGGAGGAATTGATTCATCGAAGCTCAAACCCCACGTCCGAGGTGGGACCCTGCTGCCCCCGACCAGGACGGCCACATTCTGGCCCTGGGGCATGGGAAGGGAAGTCTCCCACCGAGGCGAGATGCCCGGACACACGTGTTGCCCACATCGCAGCATGTGGGCAGCTATTTCTGACCCTCCTTTTAACGCCAGGCGAGGCTTGGAAATGCTCCCTTCAGCTGGGAGCTGGCGCAGGCAGCGGGGTGGGCAGGGGCAGCCATCTGCACGGGTCTGGGGAAGGCAGGACAGCAAACTGGAGGACGTTAAGGACATTAAGGGATGCTTGCCTGTGCCCCAAGAAGGGCAGAAAGTGGGACCAGCCCTGCCCGCAGCCCAGTGCTGCACTGGGCTCCTCTCCGCACCCATCCCTGCAAACCTGCACCCCTCGCCCCGGCCCCCAGCCCGAGCTGGGCTCCCTCCTTCCCGTTTCCCAGCTCCCAGAGGCAGCTGTGTTTGTTCTGCAGCTGGTCGTGGTGGCGGTGATGTCCCTAATGGGGCCTGCAGTGCGGGCAGCCTCATTTCACTAATTGTCTTGTTTCCTTCCAGCGGAGGGACAGGACCCTCTTGTGTCACCCGCCGGCGGGGGTTCCCAGGGTCCTGCTGCCCCAGGAGCTCTGCAGGGGAGGCTGGGGTCTCTCTGCCTTACTTTGGGGTCCTTTTCACCTCTCCCTGCGAGGTCGGCAGCTGCCCCGCTCTCCCACCCACCAGGGCACGGCCTCGGGGCGATGCCAGCTGCACGGAGGGGCCCTTTAGGAGCCGGCTGGGGGCTGCACAGCACCCCTCCCTGGGAAGCCCACATCCCTCCCCAGCCAAGAATTTTTCCCTTAAAGATCTCAGTGCTGTTTTGGATCCCGTTTATCCTTGGCACGTGCAGGGAGGAAGAAATGTAGAGGCTGGGCTGGGTGTAGGGGTGCCATATCCCCCTCTTGCCTTGCATCCCAAGGTGCCATGGGGCCGTGTCCCCAGGGAGGTGCTGGGGATGAGAGCAGTGCCTGGCTAATGCTTTAAGAAGCCACGCACTTGTTCACTCAAGCTTGTGACACCTTCAAGCACCCTCACACAAAGACTCTGGCCAATTCTGCATTAACCTGCCTTGAAATCTGCCTCCTGCTGCACGGCACGGCACAGCATGGCGAGCGGGGCTCCCTCCCTCAGCAGCTGTGCCGGCTCGGCTCGGAGCTTGGCTCGGAGCTCTGTGCAGCCCAGAGGGCAGGTAGCTTGTTGCAGACAGGGTGCTGTTCTCGACACTAGAGCCAGGCAGCCTGTACAGGCAGCAGTGCAGGCAGCGAGGCCCCCGTGCTGGTCCTACAGGGCTCTGCGGCCACAGGGAGCGTGCCGGGGTACAGGGGAGAGGAGAGCGCTGCTGTCCCATCTTGCTGTGGGGGACAAGGACCGGGGACCCCTCCGGCTCCAGAGCCTGATGCAGGGACGTGTCTGGCAGTGGGTGCTCCCACCCACAGGGGTGGACAGGGACGGTCTCCCCAAGGAGACCCAGCCCAACCCACGGCCCCAGGGGCTGGGGAAGGACCCGTGTCCCCGTGGCTCCAGCCTGCAGAGAGTTAAGGACTTGGCTACGCGCTGGCCACTCTGCTATCATCAGGATTTTGAACTTTCCCCAGCAGCACAAGGCAAACAGCATGGTGGTGCCAAGCAGAAGAGCCAATGGAAGGGACGGGTTGCCCAGGCGCGCGTCCAGATCCTGCTGGTCAAGGCTACCCAGCCACGCTCCTCACCAGCGCCGCCCGCCCCAACAGCCAGCTTAAAGGAGCCGCTGGAGCCTGTGGACCGCAGCCCCGCAGCCGCAGACGGCACCTCAGCCACGCGCGAGGCTGGTGGCGCCTTTGGGCTTCGCCATTAACTGCCTTCTTTCCTCATTAACGATCCTTTCAGTTTTGGGGCTTATCAGGCTGATCTTTGCTCCCTGATTTGCCTTGAAAATGGCCCCACCCTTCCCTGAAAATATCTCCCCGGGGAGATGGATGCAAACCCCACACTGAGCTGTGAGAAAGGTTTGGGATGCCCCAAGGAGGCTGGAGGTCCTGCTGCCCCACGCTGCTGGAGAAATGGGGGCACAGAGCCCACTGCCGGGGAAGGGGTCTCTGTGGGACGAGGGGAGGTGGGACCAGGGCTCAGCCCAGGACCAAACCTGGCGTGGGTCGGCACCGGGTCAGTTACACCTTGTTTGCTCTATGATTCATTTGGCCCGTCCAGAAGTTTAAGGTGTTGCAGCCCCCGCTTTCATGGCAAGGTAAGTATTTTGGTCTCCATTGACAGCAAGAGGAGAGGGGAGGAATGATCTGGCGAGATGCAGGGCTGCACGAAGAGAAACGGGCAGTAGAAGGAGCAGAACGGTGAAGCTGAGGGTCCTCTGGCAGGTACAAGCCTGCTTGGCCGTCCCGAGCGCAGCAGGAGCGGGATCCCCTGAGGGGCCGTCAGAGCCCCCCTTGCTCCCGGGGCTGCCGGGACACAGCCGGGCCCTGGACTGGCTGAAAGAGGACGGCCTTTCCTGGAGGTCCTAAAAGCTCACGTTCGATTTCTCACAAATTTTGCTACCAAAGTCACGTCTTTTCTGGAGTTTTTATGTTTTAAAATCCAGAGTCTGGGAAAGAAAGTTAAAAAACTAACCACAATTTTCCTGAAAAGTGCCCCCCAAGCAAAAAAACTGACTGTGTTCAAATCCGACTTCAAATCTCTACTATCTGACTGAGCTTTTTTCTTGCCCGCCTTGCGCTGATGAAAAGGCTGCTGCACCAGCATGGCTGCTCGCCGTGCTCCCTCCTGCGGGAGCGAGCTCTGCCCCGGCAGGCGTGGGTGCATCTGGGGTAATTCAAGGGCAGCGTTGTAACAAAGGTGTTAACAGGCTGTACTGCAGATTAGATAGGGACCTTGGGAAATGGCAGAGAAAAGGCGTGCAGCTCCCTGCCGCTAATGCCAGCGAAACCAACCTGACGCGTGGGTGGG